CTATGGTACACTGATTATTTGATCATTTTCTCTTCTAAAGAAAACTTTGGAGACAAATTTTTCCATTGTTAAGTCCTTAGTTTCTGAGGATCAGCTGGGCACAGATCCCAGGAGGCAGGATGCTCAGGGTTCCTGGCAGGATCCCTTCAAGGATGTGGTACCTGGACTCCCTAGGTCCTGGGGACCTCTAGCACCAGCTTCTATCTTGTCCTCTACCTTCTCTTACATATGACCTGCCTTCCAGCTTCCCTTGATTTGCCAGTCCTTCTCACACCTATGCTTTTCCTCTGTTGTTTCCCTTATCTTCCAAGTGTACTTTTCCTGCTTGGTGAGAAGCTTGCTTTTCCAGACACTGGAGAGAAGCTGTGAGCTTCCCGCCCCACTGAAGCCTTCCTTCCCATCTCCAGGCTGACCAGTTTGTTTTCCTTTGCAACTTCTGAACTTTGACTTACCTTCTCACACTACTAATTCTGCTTGGTTTGGCCACACTGTCATCTTGGGTTGCAGAAAGTTTCACTTTTAAACAGTTGAATTAAAATTAATTTTAGGACCTAGTGTTGTTAGCTTACCTGACATGCAGCAATCCTAAGTCCCTTGATACTGTATGTATAAATCTTTAGGTGAATTTTATTTGTTCTTCCCAAAGAAACCAGCAGTTTTGCAGTTGGTCTTAAAGATGGTTCTCTTTCTCTTTAGGAGAAAGGAAATACAAAGCAGAGGTGTGTGCATTTAGGAATGCACAAGGTAAGCTAGTTCTCTGAAATGGTTCAAGTCTATGGGGAGTGACTCACGAGCTTGTTGACAGATTGTTTTTTGAAGGGGGATGACACATATGTTTAGAAATAATAAATCTTTTCACCAAGAGCTTCCCCAAATCTAGCAGACTGATATGGTTCACAAATTCATGATAGAACCTGCCTGATAAGGTACCAAGCATGCTCCTGCCTACTTGATATGTCTGGATGAGACTTGCCTTTCAACTGAGCTGCCTTTAAATAAGCGACACTTGCTCTTCGAATATCAATCAGATGATTTCTATTGGAAATGCATATTGCTATCAGTTTGATTCTGCCTTTCAACTCCCCAAATCCACTTCTAATTGTTATGCCATAACATTCTTACTCATAAAAGGGGCAATAAAATTTACTTGGAAAGGAACTTAAAATGTGGGGAAATTGTTTTTGTAAGATGTGTAGTAAAGTGCTGTAATTGGAACTTTACCCAACAATGATATTTTGGCCTAGATTTTATTCTTGCATTAGCTATAATAGTTTACTACACAAATTARTAAGCAGATGCTAGGGAGCTTGAATAACCAACTTAAAAAGACATTATTGTGAAATACTTGATAAATACCAACTTGGAAAAGAAATCCAACATGCCAATTAATAGGTGTTTATTTAGTGAAAGAGGTGCAACTGAGTATTTGCTTTTTATTATATTGTTACTATTGTTTATCACTTTGTCTACTCGGCAATAATTGCAATAGATTTGCTTTAAAATGTTCTATATTTCCACCTTGTTAGCTCAAATTGAGGATTTTGCTGTACTTAGTCATTTTAGGAGGAATAACCGTTCTGCAAAGTTTTCTGTTTCCTTAAACTGTAGACTGTTCTCCTTAGTGGAAAATGGCTGCTGAGTGTGCGAAAACAGTACAAAAGATTTCAGCATAAATTTTAGATGCTGGATCATTTGAAATTCTCCATCTCTGCAAAATTCTCAAATTAGGCTTATGAAAGCAATCGGATTTAGCAAACAGCTAATTGAACAAAGCAAAAGCTTATCAGCAAGCCTGGATTTGGACTGCACTTGTTCCCACATTCTCTTAGCAGCAATATGTCTTCAGTGTCCCAGGTAATCCTCTCCTTGGGTCCTTGAGATTGTCCTCCAGGAAGGCCCTTGTGCCAGGTGCACAAGCTCTCACAAGGCTACCTCAGCTTTGTCAGTAGGACCTGGGTAGACAGATGGCTATTTTTGGTAGCCCATCAACACAAAATGTGCCAAATCTAAGATCAGACAAGATTAAAAGCCTTTGACTTATCATGTATTAACAACGGAACAAAATATCTTAGACTTCACCTATGCCATGTTATAATTAGTGGAAAAAGTCAGTACCTTAATTAATTTACGGTTTATGTATATATGGTGGTTTCAGGTTGGGTACATGATGGATTTGGAGTTTGAGGATGTTCATCTGTATAGGTTTGTCCCTTTTCTCTCTATTTCCTAGTCTCTCTCTCTAACTTGAGCGGTTTATACAAGCACAGTTTGAATTTCTTGACTACCAAGATGGTGTTGTTTCAGCTTTATCATTCCTCAGAAATGTCACCACTGCTTAAACAGTTTTTCTTTTTGCAGTTGAAATTGCTTGACAAAACTGTATGGTGCTGTCAAGGCCCTGGAAGGAAAGCAAGGGGTTCATGATGTAGAAGGAGTAAACTTATTAAAGGGATCCCCAGTGGAGCACTTGTAATGAGCTGAAGATTTCTCCAGAGGCCTGTTGCCTGTCTGATGACAACAGGAAACATTTTTCTAAACCAGGAGGTTTACAATCTACAGTGGAGGTGTGCTATTAAACTGTAGGATTTTTATTTCCCCCTATCTGGCTTAATCAGCGGTGGTGGTGACTGTTTTTCCATTGAAATAAAACATGCCACCCCAAATTCTCCCACATGAGGTCTCTTGTTTTGGGTTTCTGTGCAGAGGTTTCAAGATTTGAAACAATTCTCAAACTTATTTAGGAAAGAGAACACCTGGAAATCACAATACTTTCTGTTTTCCTGGATATGATGAGGAAATACTGGCTTATTGAACTGAAAATAACAAATTATAGTTGTTGGCATAGTTAAATAAAATCTTGGAATAAACTCTAATATGCATTGTTCATAACAGTACAAAGCCTTCATTAGGTAGGAGAAATCAGTCTGCTTTTTTTTTTTTTTTATCAAGGATGTTTGCTGACCTAAGCTGATAATTGAGTACCATACATTTCAATATCACAAAGAAAATCTCTAAGGTTTTGATCACAAAATATTAAATGTTTGAGGTGATAGATACATTAATGAGCTTCATTTATACTTTATATTATAAAATTATAAAATTACTTCATAAATATAATCAACTATATAAAACTTGGAAATAAAAAAATAAAAATTTGGAATATAAAAATGACTGAGAAGTTTCAATTCATTAACTTGGTTGAATTTTTGAAGCATCAGAATTCCAATGGGCCATACTTTGACAGTCACTGTTAGGAAACTGTGTGAGCTGTGCAGAGCTCTAGAAATATTTTTATGAAGTTAATGATAGGACTGTGTTTATGTCATGAAATGTAGTATTCAAAGAGTACTCTGATGGTTATCTGAGAGATGAGGGAAATGAGGAACCAGGCTCCTGTTGACATCATTCTTGGCTTAGGAAAAAAGCGACTGATCCTTAGACCTAAGGCTCCCCCTCTGGAGTCACTGCACTGAATGAGCAGCCACCTGCCAGTGCCTGTTGGTGTCATGCCTGTATCATGCTGAGAGCACAGTATCATTGCTAACTCAAACAGAAGAGATAATTACCAAGGCTGTGGTTTGAGAAGCAAAATACACCGACACTGGAGGGGAAAGGGCTATTTATTTAGAAAAGTCCACCTTCAAATCACTGGACAAGAGAAGCAACTGATAGAGAAAATCAACACTTCTTACAACAAAGAGGGATCCATTATAATTGGCTGATTTCTCTAGCACTCTCTAAATGGTTTTGAACAAAGCCCTCCCAGATGTTTTCCATTGGATAAGCAAATACGATGGTGAAAAACCAATCATTTTGTTGTGCCTGTTACACTTCTTTCTACATTTCTCTGAATTACATCTAAGCATAATAATAGTGTATCTGATATTAGGGAGACACCTAATTTAGCATTAATTTCTCTGGGTGGAAATAGGAGCCATATGTTTATGTTAGTCATAGTGACATTAGGCAATTCGATCATTTCTGAGCAGACTGATATATTTTCATCTCCAAGAAAATTCTGAGAACTCATATTCATTTTGGAGCACCTGCAGCTTTTCAGTATAGAGGCCACACAAGTTTTCTAATCTTATTTTATTTCATTTCTCTACCTTTTTGATTCTGATTTGAGTCTCAGGTAAAATTGTGATTCTTCTGTGCCTCAGTTCTGTTAATATATTCCTCATCTCTCTCTGGCAAGACAGTAACTGCAAGTAGATTAACTGTTACAAAGTTGTAGCATAGCAGCATTAGGGTTCTTTGAGGTGGCTATTATTACTTGATTTTCAGACTGCTGAGACTTTTAAAAATATATACTCAGCCTCACTTGGTAATATCTTTTCACAAGGGTATAGAAATCCAATAGAGAAGCATCCTTTCCAAGTGCCCTGGATGCACATAAATAGCTTCCATTCTGGAAGCCAGCAGGGGGCACATAAGACAAAATGAGTTTTAAAAAATGTGCACATAGAGTAATTTTAATCCATTCCATTTTTAAATACCACAATAAATTTAATTTTCACAATAAATTAAATAGCCATATTCAGTTTACAAAATAGAATTACTTAGTGTGAAACTGGTATTTACAGCATTATACACTATATACATGACATTTCTCTTTCTTGACATACAACATGGAAGTAAAGGACTTGAGTTTCCAATGTGTGATTGACATGCTACAAGTGACACCATGGCCCATACAAGAAAACAATAGTGCAAAATCACCACAAGAACTTTGGAACAATGTCAATTTTATGAGATAAGACATATTTTTTTAATAATAAGAAAATAGCATTTTTGTTTTGTTTTGTTTTCATGGCACCAATTCAGTGTCTGAATAAAGCCGGCTTTCCCTTAGGAAAAAGAATGCATAACTGAATCCTCTACTTCCTGAAGCTTCACAGCTATTGGTACATTTTCACACATTCATCTTTTGGCTTAATCTATGAAAATGGCAGGTGACAAATTCTGAATCAAAGGAAGACTAACTCTTTGAGAATAGCTGAAGTCACTTTTTCCTTTACCACCACCTCTTCTTTTTTTTTTTTTTTGTAAAATAGTTTAAAAGATGCAACTTTGCAGACATCAACTTACTTATTTATTTTTGTAAATTTTCAGTAGAAAAAAACTGATATCATATTTGGTCACACACTGTATTATGTACAAGTATACATGGAAAAATGACTTGGATAGTTGTGTCTAAGAAAAGTGCATATTTTAATCTAGAGGAGACATTGTGTGTCCCCAGGAACAACACACAGTGTTGTAGGGTATTGTTTTAGGGCCAGTTCAATGTCCTCCCGGTGATCTGGTAAAATTTTTGATTAAAAGGGTGAAAGAATTTGCGCAATTTGGTAATGACAGAGGGGTCCACCTCTGGATGAATGCGCCCCTTGCTGCCCGCCAGGCACTTATTAAAGATAATGTTAAACCGTAAGCAGTAAAACCCTCTGGTAGCATTGAAATACAAGTTGTATTGGCTTATCCTTGGAGGAAGATTTAGGAACTTCTCCACGAGCTGAAGTTCTGGCAGAGGTTCCGTGATGAGGCGGTCTCCATCCACAATGTGAAATTGCTCAATTGGAAAATATTTCAACCACCTTTCTAGATGTTTGGTGTAGATGCTGGTTCTTACTGCCTTATATTTTGTGTTCACGTCACAGGTATTAGGGTCTATGGCCAGCTTCTCAAACTTGTAATAGGTTTTGTTCTTCCTCTCCTTCCCTTCTAGCACCTGAGTGTAATCAGAAATAGCTCTTGTGGTTGGCTCCCTGACAATGATCAACAACTTGATGGATGAGTTCATTTTGTAAATCCTTTCTGGAACCTCCTCCGTGATAAAATAGGCTGGGCTTTTTTCAATTGTGATCTGCTGAGGGTAGGAAAAAGGCATCTTTTTCCTATACCACTCAATGCCCTTGGCATAGTTCTCATCATTGTCAAAAAAGTGGATTTCTTGAGAGGCTTTGACCACTGCTGGATGGAGGTTCAGCATCTCTAGCAGGGCCCTTGTGCCCCCTTTCCTCACCCCAATGATAATGGCCTTCGGGAGCTGCTGGACCAGGTCATGGAGGCGAACCTGCTCCTTGGAAGTGTTGCCCTTTCGGAACTCATGGAGCAGGCCACGCTTAAACTGTAGGGCGCGGAGTGGCAATTCAACCTGACTGCGGGCTCCACCAAATCGGCCTTCAACGGGGCAAAGAGGTTGTAGCCTGCAAGCAACAGAGACACACTGTAAGAAGCTCATTGTAACTAACTTCTCATTTTTCTACTTCACCAGTCAGACTAAGACTTTCAGTGCATAAATAAAATCACTGGTGCCCAGCCTGCTGCAATCCATAATGAACATATGTTTGGAAAATTTTATTTTAAATAACCCTGTATTAAATGGAGCATATATAATTGATGGGATTTTTTATTAGCACTCCTTAAAATTTTTATTCGCCATGCACTTAATTGACTCCAGCATGTACTTATGCTCATAGTACAGGACAGATAAGTGACACCAGCCATACTAATAGCTTTTCAACAGCTCACCAGTTAAAATCATTTAGAAAATGTGAAAGGGGGAAGATTATAATCTTCAGTTGGGAGGCTGAAGGGCAGAGAGGAGGCCATTTGTTTCTGGTTTCACATGGTGTTATTTTCTTGCAGCTCAGCAACACTTACATGGCTCTTAAAAATCTTTGAGATAGAATCTGAAGAGAAGTCCCACTCTCTATCCTTGGCTGTCTGCATCATCAACCTGCAAAATTCCAGTCTTGGTACTTGCTGAGCTTTTCATTCTATGAGAATTTCTGCCCTTGGCCTTGGTGATAGCCAGAAGAGTACTATATTTCTTCTGCCTCTCTTTCTCTTTCTATTTAAAGAGGTCAGGAGTATGTTTTCACTTTGCTGAATGTGGGAACAAACCCAATTACCTACCATCCGAGAGTGCTGTATATCATCTACCACAACTGTGACCAGAAATCAACAAGACCTTGATGGGGCCAGAAACCTCAGCTCCTCACTGCCAAATACATTTAAGTAAAAGAATGGAGTTCATGAGGGAAGGAATGCAATGGACAGAGCCAGAAAGGAGGATTTCCACTTTAATATTACCCTGAATAATGAGTAAGCACTTCTATTTTTCTCAGATAGAAATATGTGGCAATAGTCACGATAATATTAGACAGGAATGGCTGTTTAATTTGGCATGGTCAATATATGTGATTAACAAATACAGTTTCCTTGTACATATAGACTGAAACTTAACCGAAATTGATTATAATTTTCTTAAGCTGGTTGGGGAAGGATGCCTACTTGAGAAAAGGGCAGATAGTGGCTAAAATGGCTGTCAAACCAATTCCTCCAACTGAAAAATTTTGGTTATCCCAGTAATCTGGAATCCATCTCTCTCTCTCTGGCAATGAGATATCACTTGCTTTTCCCAAAATACCCTGTTACATCTCAGAGTCATGCCAGTTTGCTCTGTGGTACTGAGGGGAATGATCTTGGTGAGTGCTCTAACAGTTTTCTATCATAATGCCTAAGGAACAATTTAAACATATGTTATTTTTTCATAGTATTTGTTTTTTATTATATTTAAAACAGTCCATGCTTATTGAAAGTATGAAAATATAGAAAATAATTAGAGGGGTAGGAAGGATAGTAGAATCAATTGGACAATAATACCATACATGATTGATCCTATGCTATGTACAACCAGAAGAATGAGAAGTTATACTCCATTTATGTATGATGTATCACATTGCATTCTACTGTCATGTATAACTAATTTAGAACAACAAAAAAGAAAACCATTAGAAACACAGGATTTACCATAGTTAATGTTTTACAAAAACATGAATTTTATTTTTATAAATTTGTTAATGGGATTAATATACTAGTGTTCTAATGGAAGAAATAGAATTATTAAGAGATATGTAGAGATATTTTTAATTGTGACATTGATTGAGATATAATAATTTCATGTTTTGGTTCTTCTTTGGTTCTAGTTAAGAATTAAGCCCTAATTCACCATATCCATTGGTGGACTTCTCTCTTGATCGTTTAGAATGACACTCTGTACTTGGGATGAAGATAGTCATCCTGTCTTTTTCTGTGGTATTTAATTCTCTCACAGAAATCTGGCTAAGAGGATGACATAAGTATCTTTGCCTTGACTGAACTAGAATAAAATTTCCCTACCTTTAGAAAGGGCCATTTTCCTCCTTTACTTCCTTTCTTTCTACTTTCTCACCTGGGACATCATACTTTTCGAAACAATTACTTTTAGGACACTCCAACTCAAGAGAATATGTAAAGATACAAGAACATATTACACTTTTTTCCACTTCTTGAAGAGCAGATTCTGATCATGGGTTCTGACCAAAAAAGATAGAATTCTAAGACTGGAAGGAACAGTAACCAGTCACTTCAGTCTCTTTTCCAGATAGCAGGGTCTTAGGTTAGTAAAGCAGAAGCCTAAGTAAGTCATATCAGTTTCAGACAAAATTTGTTCAAACTTTCAAGTGAGGGGTTTTGAGAAAGCCTACTAAAACATCCAATTCCTTATAAAAGATATCCCATTAGAGACTAAAGAACAGGTTAAAAATGATAAAACCATCAACCAAATAATGAATGTTCTAGTATCTGGTTACTCAATTAAAAAATGATTAGAAGTTAATTAAAGGTGCTAGGAAAAACTTGTTACAAAAGTTCTAATATGGACATGGGAAAATGGTACCACCTCAAGGATTTTCACCAATAACCAAGTAAACTACCTTGAAGTGCTGACCTTTAAGTGATAAGCTCTTAATTGCACTTTTTTCATAGGTAATGACTAGTGAGTAAAAAGTTTACTCAGGAATTTTGAATTGAAAATCCTCAAAGGGATGTGTTTTTATCAGTCAAAAATGATACTAGCTGCAAGGTGTGGTTGCACATGCTTGTAATCCAAGTGGCTTAGGAGGCCGAGGCAGAAGGATCTCAAGTTCAAAGCCAGCCTCAGCAAAAGCAAGATGCTAAGCAACTTAGTGAGACCCTGTCTCTAAATAAAATGAAAAGTAGGGCTGGGATGTGGCTCAGTGATTGAGCGCCCCTGAGTTCAATCCCTGGTACCCACCCCCCCTCCAAAAAAAAAAAAAAATAAAACTAGCCAAAGAAAAACAAGGGCCACCAAATGATAATAAGTTCTACTGATAAGCTTAAATTTTGGAAATAGAACTCAAAAGAAGGTATTTTTATTTTTAAGTGTGGCTGCATTTGCAATGTGAATTGAACTCAGAAAGTATTTCACTCTTCCCATTATAAGAATTAATTTTAAAGGGCAAAAAAAGAAGTTTCACATTTCAGAAATCAACTCCTCTGTACTTGCCAATCATCCTGGATGTAGACCTGTCCAGAAGCATTTATTGTTTAGTCAGCTGATATTCTGGGACTTCTGAAGGTCCAGTACCTCTTAACTGTTTGCCTATTTGGAGCCAAACACTAGTTGTGTAATTTCCTCTCCATGGATTTTCCATTGCCTTCTGGGCAATTACTCTGAGTGACAGCCTCCTTGTCTGGTCTGTTCAGCTCCTGAAAACCAGAGCTAATTAACATAGTTAAAAATCTATGCCTGCAGCCATCTTTCCAGGGCAATGGATTGCAAACTTGATGAGATCCTTTACAGGCTCATACATAATTTTAATGCTCCTGATAACACATTAATTGTCCACTCATAAATTTCAAAATGAAGAGGCCTAACTATATCATCACTGTTTGCTATAGCTAGGGGTCAACACCAGATACTCATAGACCAGAGTGTGCTCTACTTAGTAAATGACATTTTTATTTATTTATTTTTTTTTTACTGTACACAGCTTTATCCCTTCTCTGAAAACAAGTGTCAGTGCACACAGAATACAAATGGATCTTGACAGAATACCTTGGTTTGAGCAACTTGGATCGCCTCCTTTTAAAGTTTTAATAAATCAAAATTGATGCAGAAAAGTATTTTCTTGGGAATTTTGAAGGAGGAAAACTAATAGAGAGACTTAAAGTTATATCCTAAGGAATTTAAATTAAAAGACACCTAAAGTCATATGGGCATATGCATATGTTTAATCACCCACCTATCCAAGCTCCCAACTCTGGCAACTAGATACAAGAGACTCCCAACAGCAAGGCTTCCCAGCACCAGGAGCTTCTGTCTCAGCCACGCCTGCTGTTTGAATAGCATGGCCCTCCATCAACCTTCAGAACTGCTGCAGCCTGAGAGAGGGGAGAGAAGTCATTCATTAGTGGTTGTTGCTTACAGGCTCTGTTGAGTTTTACCAAGTCAACCAGAGGGGACAGGGGACAAAGAGATGTTGTATGCAGAACAATGCCTATAGCAACCTTGTCAATTTTTGAGGTGCAACAGGTATTTAGCCAAACTTACCTTTTTTTTTTTTTTCAACCTGGCTGGTGCTAAAAAATCATCTACTAGGTTTAAGAGGAAGATATTTACTAGATAGTGCCTGCCAGACAATTGCCACAACAAATTAATATGCATAGATTATAACATATCATATGCATATCTAAATAATTCAAAGAATTTTGAAAAAATGAGCAACATGAGGTTTACTGGTAATGGCAGGTTCACCAGAGTGAAATGTTGAAATTCCAGTTCAGTAAACCATAATTTTGGGCATATGAAATGATGTATAACATTTACACATCTTTTGTTTTAGTTGTGAATGGAGGAAGGGAGTGAAGGCAAAAGTGGTTTCTTTACCTGCTGAGGTTATCAGTGATAACTTTCAGGACTTTGCATATTTGGAATAGTGGCTCTGAGGAACCTGCTGTTTCTCTTTATGTCCTCTTCTAGGTCCTGGATTCTGAAAACATGCTCTGACTAGGGGCTCCTAATATGTGACCTCCTCTGACACTCAGTGAATTGGAACAGTTTTTGGTGATATCAGTCTTGCTCTTACATCACAAAAGAAGTTTACCTGGAAGCTTTGTTCTCTTGTATCTGAAATAAGGCCAGTGGAAGAGAGAAGGGCTTTTCTTGTGCTGATATTAAACTTGAGGAAAAAAATGCAAGCTCCGAATTCAGTCTTTTTTATTAAAAATAAATCCAATCTCCCTTTCAAGATAAGATTGTTTGCTTCTTATTGAAGCTCAAAATAGTAAGCTAAGAATAAGGAAGCTGAGAGACGTGGTTAGAAATTGTTTTGCTGCAGTGTATCTCCATATTTGTTATGTGAAGATTTTCTTTGTGCAAAAGAACAAAATCCAATTGGCAATAGTGTGTGAATAAATGTGGGGGAAGAAAATTATGGAAAAGATCAAAGAACACAGGCTCCTGGAGAATTCCTTGGTGGTGTTGTTGATTGTGGAATATAGGAGGGTATCTGAAGAAGGGGATACAAGAGCAATATTAATCCAACACATAGTCAGAAAACATTTATGGAACATGTCCTATGAGCTGGATTCTATATTGGTTGCTTCAGAGACTTTAAGTGTCTTTTAATTTAAACTTCCTTAGGCTATAACTTGAAATCTCTCCACTAGTTTTCCTCCGTCAAGTAAACAGACATGGTTCTTGCCCCATGGGAATCCACAATCTAATTTAAAAGACCGACATGAAGCCAGAAAACCTGTATAGGATTAATAAGTGACACATTGTAACAAGTATGAGCCAGTGTATTATATATAGAGGATTAATATGTACACTTGCAAATGGTATGAAATGTAACAGGGGATGATTACATAAGAGAAAGAATAACTGGGAGTCCACCTCAGTTCTCCCTGAAGAAGTGACCCCAGGGCTCATACTTGGAGGAAAAGCAGGAGGCAGGAGTAGGACACAGTGGATTTAGGCAGTGGTGCATGATGATGCACAAAGAGACTGAGGAGGGATAACTTTTGCCTAATATGACAGGTGCATTTATACATAGGGACTAAGGGGGAAAGAAAAAAGGTGAAGAGTAAAAGCAAAGAGCAAGTAGTAAGGGGTCTGGGTGAGCCCGTGTTTTCAACTTAGCAGGGTTTTCCCTAGGGGCAGTAAAAGGGGGCAGAAAGAAGAGAGAGAGAGAGTGAGGCATATTGAGGTCCACTATGTGGTAAGCACATTATTCAGGTGGTATTTCAGGAAATTCTCAAAAACGTCTGTGAAGTAGAAAGTGTTATTTCCATTTTGTCGACGGGTAAAGTGAAGCTCACAATTTTCTCACTTGCCTGTGGTCACACAACTGGCAGGTAAGGTGAAGGMAAAGTCAGAAACCTCTGGAATGTGATTGAAGCTTCATGGAGAATCATTCTCCTTTCTCTAGGTTGATGTCCAAGGTCCTCAGTTAGGACCACATGCTTTTAGCATGGGGCTTTGATCCCTGTTGAAATGCTGTCAGAATGAAATACGGTTCTACAGGTAACATCACTCTACAGAGCTTTATAGTTTTCCAGACTAAAGGATTATGTGAATGAATTTAATGTGCATTTACAGACAAATGGCATGAGAGAATAAAGGTCTTCTATGGCTGAGGAAAGGCAATGGAATTGGGGGTGATGGGTAAAGACAAAGGTAAAATGTGGGTTTGACAAAAATCACCAGCCTCATACAGAGGGCCAAGTTGGAGACAAGTCATTTGGCTTTCTCAGCTACTGAAACCCAGGGCTCATACCCTCCTGCTTAAAACTGTGCTACAGTTTTCTATCCACTTCATCAGCTCATTGGTCCACCCATCTATCTTTAGTTAGAGACCACTCATCCTTCAAGGTCTAGGCTACATCCAAGTTCCTTCATTAAGTGTTCTCCATCTGATGCTCTGGTCATCAGTCCTGCCTACCTCCATTAAACTCTTGTTCCCATCAGCCAACACCACATCTGGGCTTGTTGCTGCCTTCTGTATCTGTTACTACCACCTCCTGGCAATGGGCTAAGCCTGCTGGCTGGTTCAGAAGTATTAGAAAGCAACCCGAAGGCACTGAGCCCACAACCTGTCTGTCGTGATGCAAAGGTCTGTGGTTCTTTATGGTAGGCTTTCATACCATCCTCAGAGATTCTAATTCAATAGGTCTGCATTAATCTTGTAATACTAGAAGAAAGTCAAAATATGTAATATCATGTTCTACCATTATTTTTCTCTTTGGTCACCCATGCCAGTAAACTATCTGTTAATTTCTTTTTGTCTTGTTCTGTCTGGCACTTAGTGCCTCCCTTATTTCTTAATATTTGGATATGTTCTCTATGTTGGTTTCCTAGAGGTCTGTATAGTTGGATTAATCTTTTTAATGTGAGTTATTTTGTCCCTTGTCTGTTTTAGTTGTTCACTGGACCAAGTCCAGTTCCTTCCCCTTGAGAGCACAGGCCCTTCCTTCCATGGCCCCAGCATGGTAGTCAGCTTCTCTCCCTCTTAGAGTCAGCCACACTGGCATCTGTGCCTGTCAGCTCAACCTCTTTACCACTCCTCCTAATGCCTTCAGTTTCATCTCCATGCTTTTCTCAGCTTCCTCTCTGGCCTAGACAGTCTTTCTCCTATGTCCCCCTCCTTCAGTGCTCCCAGATCCTACTGATATCTTCCTAGGAAGGGTGATTCTGCTGGATGTGGAATTTGAGGGAAAACATGCCCAATATACTTCAGATTGGTAGCTAGAAATGGATCAGGTCTGCCATGTAGATAATTACAAGGCCAAACGGTGGGCCTGGAAATAAAGTTTGGAAGAAAATTGCAACCTAGGAATGAGTGAGTAAAGTGATGAAGTGTCCTCATGGTTGTACTCTGCTTAGCGGCAGAGTGAGGAAGGAAAAGTGATAGTGTGAAGATTGCGGAAGTGTCCAAGATTTAGGGGTCTATCATGATAATACTATCAGCCTCCTATTTCAATGCTCACATCATCCGTATACAGTTGGCTATTAAACTGGGCTGAATATGAGGTTGTAATTTTTTCTATTGCCACTGAGAATTTTTAGACTCCAATACCCCAATATTGTCCTTATAGACTCTTTCTGATTAGCTCAGCTATTCCCATAGAGGTTTTGCTCTGTGGGATAAGCTGCTACTACGGGTTCAGCTGCCCTGTGCTGGAGATATCTTAAATATGCTCACTGGGGTTTTCTTTCTTTGGAAACCTAATTTATCTAGCCTTTTATTCGTAGAGTTGACCTAGCTCCTACCATTGCTTCCTCTTATGCTAAGTCTGGCTGATTCTCATTGCACCCTCCGATGTACCTCCATGTCTACTGTGGTGCTGAGGAGAATTAAATTAATATTAGTAAGTTGCCCATGGTGAAGTGCCAAGACTACTCTACAAGGAGTCAAAAGAACTCATGTCACATTTTGGTTTAGTCTTGTTATGGAGACCATCTGAATTTTGTTCCTCATCTGTAAAGTAAAGATAACAGTGCCTATCTCACAGGGTTGTCATGACATGAACATGACTTATCACTGCAGGATAGAACTTCATGAAGATCTGAGTACTTTACAAAAATGAAGTGTAATTAATATCTTTAGGAGGCAGATGAATTAATTCATGCAATGCATTTTAAAGAGGTAAAGAATAAAATAAGTGCAATTCTCATGAATAATGTAATTGGATTGTGAAAAAAATAGGAGTCCATTTTTAAGTATAAATCATTTTTAATGGAAACTCTTGTTAAACAATAAAATACTAACACCATAATTTCTGTTCAAAGCAAGATGCTAGGCAGGTGCATGCATGTGTGTGCATGCGCACACAGATGCAATGCTTCTCTTTTTGAGCTGAAATCTCTTGGAACTTTTGAGAAATGAGGAGGACATGCCAGCAGTTTCTAATGAGGCTCCTTTGAGACAGGAAGTGAAATATCATTCTGCTTTGTACAGTCTCTAACTATATGCTAAGATACAAGACCAGAGCAGCTTCTGCATAAACCCTCCTCAGAGAAAACCAAAGGTAATGGGTTAAGTAAGATTCAAGATGACTCTTTTTTTTTCTATAGCATCATAAAGTGTTTAAGAGCTTGCCAGGATGTAACCTCAAAAGTTGGAAGTTCTCACTTTTGTTCTGGGCATGTCCGAGAAAGAAGCACGGGATTCAATCCTCAGGCACAGTGCAGTCAAATTGGTTAGAAGGTTAACTGCCTCTTCAACCCCAGAGTCCCTTCCCTTCAGCTGTGCCAACTTTAATGGATATTTTAATAATCTTTCATTAGAACAGTCATATGGGTAATAGGAATTTAGATATAGTTTTTAAAAAGTCTGTAATTTATTTTTAGATATAAAAAGGTTAAAGACCTACAGTGACAT